GTGAAACAGAAAGGATTTTAGCCACGAAGTGACTGCTCCAGCAAATTCCAACTAATCTATCTTTGCTTTCTCTATATTGATATTGGTAATCTTTTCATTTAAGTTATCAGATTCTTTTTTATAGCCACTGTGTGACTGCCTTCAGCAAACCCGCAACTTTTTATTGAGTTCGATTAATTTAACATTGGAATCGAGTACTTCATATAGCGATTTTTCTAATTCCTCATAGCTCATGCGTTTTTTTTTAACTCTGTATCCGTCTCTTCAGAAATAGATGGAATTGCATTAACATGATGTACCTCAATCTTATTTTCAACCTTGTGCATCGTAACTGGAATGTAAAAATCTTTTCCATTGCAATGAAGCTTCATTTCGGATTTAGGCCAATTCATTATACATTCATGTTTTTCAAGGAAAGGGTTACTTAACAACAATATAGGCATATCATATTCAATAATTACGAAATCTAAATAAAATACACAATCTGGGGCTAGGGTTAACGGTACATTATAAACCATTCCAATTGATTTTGTTAGGACAGTGGACGCCCCCTTGAAATAAAACGTCACGCTTTTATCAATTTTTAAACCCAAGCGGTCAGCAATATCCCTAGACATAAGTAAAGTATTGGAACCAGGATCAATTATTATGGCTGAGAGAACTAAACGTTTGATCTTACCCCAAACAGTTGGAACATCTATTACATCTTTATCCCGAACAAAGTTAATTTCCATATCTTCGATAATTTCTTCATCTTCAGTATTGCTTTGAAAATGGACTTCATTTATGGGATCTTTTGGAGAAAGTGCACTCTGTGTATTAGATTTCTGGAAATTTCATAAGATTTTACTTATAACCTCCTCTAATAAAGCAGAATTTATAAACTCGCTTTGGATTATCTCACGAATTCGTTGCTCTAGTAAAGTTGAAGCGGGTTTTTGTGATTCATGTAGTGAAGCTCGTTTCGGAATTTGCTTTTGCGAAGATGTTTTATTTGATATCTTTTTAATAGGTAGACTAGGTCGCTCTATTTTTTTTAATTCTGTCTACATCAACATTGGAATCTCCATCGGATATATTATCCTCTTCTTGATCGGAAATAACAGATCCATCAGGATTTTCTTCTGTATCAGAGCCTTGTTGGAACCCATCGGCAAAATTCACGCGACCAATTTTTTTCTTGGAATTATTAGCTATCATATTCTTAATTATGGGACAACTGCGATAAGTATGTCCCAGCTTTTTGCAAATTTCACATTTGTGCTGGATCGGCCTAGTACTTACTCTAGGATCTCTAGCCAGATTTACTGATGAATTGGGGGGATTAGGCAATCCCTCAAGTTGATCTAATTTACCCGCAATATTGACTATCGCGTAATCAATTTCCATCGGTTCTAGTACTCTGTTATCTTCGGCTTCGAGACCCATATCTGCATAATTCCTTAACTCTTCATAATACTTGGCCTTCTCAGTTTTTGGACGGAAATTTTGATATTCATATATTGGAGGATTTGTAATTCGTTGATGTGGTTGAGATTTCGGTTGCTGAACAATTTGCTGGGGAGGTTGGAGCATGGGTTGTTGAACGATTTGCTGAGGCGGTTGAAATACTGGCTGTTGAACGATTTGCTGAGGTAGTTGGAATGCGGGTTGTTGTACGATTTGTTGGGGTACCTGAGACACCATCCCATTCATATTATTCGCACTTCCGTAATTAAATGAAGAAGGCCTACGTTTGAGCCACAATTTATTGAGATCGGTGAAAAATGCATTGTAATTTGCAGGATTTGCACTTTCCATTCGATTGAAAAGGTCATCAGGTAAATGATTCATAAGGAATGACAAGGCATTAGCATCGTCATCGGCAACACCCAATAATAGGGGGCGTATTCTCATCTCATATGTTTCCGGCGTATCATTAGGTAAAAATTTTTCGTAAGCTAATCTCTGGAAAGCAACTTGCTGTGTTCCGTCTGATATTTATAATGTAACCATGCAATAAAGCGAGCTGGAGTATCAATATTATTTCCAGCATGTTGATCGGGTACATCTGCATATTTTCAACCAAGTCTACTCTTTAAAATAGCTACTTTATTGGCATCATTGAGATTAGTTATCACAGGAATAGCTAGTATGGCGTGAATTTTATTATACCATTCATCGGGCTGAACCTGTCCATCATAGAATTCAACATTTGCGAGTAAAGGTGTAATACCAGTTAAGTCACCTATAGCTGTCATATTTGGTAGATTATTCTGAAGCGTTAAAATTTGCTGATTTAAATTTATTATTCTTAGCCGGGAATCCTTTTCTTTATTTTCCCACTTTTTATGTTTCACCTTTTGCTTGACATGCTTACCCTTCCTCTTTGCATGCTTTCTATGCCAATCTTGTAAATCAGCTTGACATGTTTGCAATTGTCCCGTCTGGAAATTATGGGCATGATTAAGAAGATCGAAATTATTATTTGCAGTATCCAACCGAGCCTGTAATTGTATAATAATTTGTGCATCTCCCTGAATTTGGGCTTGAAGTTGAGTTGCTTGATTATTCAACCCTGCAATCACCTGACCATATTGCTGATACTGGGTTTGTGCTTCATCATTTTCCCAGTCAGCGATTTCTTTCAATCTATTTGCGGAACTAGTGATAATATTAAGTTTGGTCAAAATATCTCTCTGATTCAATTGAGAAGATTGTGGCCCTTGAAAATGATCATCAATATCTCTACATTCATCCTGAACCGTTTCAAAAATGTTATTGAGTTCATTGGGCCTAGGTGGTTGAATTGGATCAGACATTGAAAGTTTATTATACTTCCGAGAGGTAATTTCTCGAATTTTCTTTTTTAATACGAGCACTTCCTCTTCGAGTGTAGCCAACTGTTGTTCTCGAACAAGTATATAACTCTCTGTTTTATCTATATCCTTTAAAGCAGACCGGAGATGCTTTTGCAAATCAGATAGCTGGGATTTGAGTTCCTGGATCTCTTTTTCATGAGCTATGATTGTGGTATCTTGAAAT